GTTGCTAATGTAGACAAAAGTTCAACATATTTTGGAGGGTGAAGCCAGAGGTTCAACAAGCTATCTTGTATGCACTACAATTCACAAAAAGAGAGATGCCATTTAGATACCCAGGGATTCGTCTAAGTACTAAAAGACTATCAATCATTAAGTGCAAGTCTCTTGTTGACAAGATGTTGGGCAGAATCAAGTCATGGACTACAAGATACTTATCATACGCAGGCAGACTACAACTTGTAAAGTCAGTGCTTTTCTCTATACAAGTATGTTGGTCGAAGGTGTTTGTTCTACCAAAAAAGGTGATCCAACTGGTGGAGGCTATATGTAGGAGCTTCCTATGGACCGGTGGAATTGAGATATCAAGGAAGACACTTATAGCATGAGATAGACTTTGCCTTCCTAGGGCTGCAGGGGGCCTCAATATCCTGGATATCTATGCGTGGAACTTAGCTGCTATTGAAAAATTATTGTGGAATGTTTGCAGAAAAAGGATAATTTATGGGTCAAATTGATTCATTCTTACTATATAAAAAGAAGCACAGTGTTGAAAACAAAAGCTATTATGGATGATGCAGAAAATTCTCAAAACAAGAGTAATATTTGATCAAATAGGGCTAACTGAAGATGAAGTAGAAGTTATAAATAACTATTTAACCAAGAAGGTGTATGGGCATATTCATGGAGATTTTCCGAAAATACCATGGAGAAGATTGATATGTAACAATGCTAGATTACCTAAGTGGCTATTTATTTTGTTCCTGGCACTACATAGGAGACTTCAAACAAAAGAAAGGATTGCTTGCTGGGATAATTTAGATGACATGGATTGTGTCTTATGCTTGAAAGAAATGAAAACATTGATCACCTATTATTCGAGTGTGAATATACAAAGCAAGTATGGTCTAAACTGTTGAAATGACAAGGCATCACCAGGAACGCTAGTAATTGGTAGCATGAAGTCACATGGGCAATGGAATATGCAAGAAGGAAAACTGCAGATCAAGAGATATACCGGATGACTTTAGCTGGATAAGAGAGATACATCAAAGAGAAGGTATAATGCATAGGCTAGATAGACACATGTCGTTTCTAAATTTCTATCCATAGAGGCTGTTTGTGGAGCAGTAGAGTGTTGGCATCGATGTCCAGTAAGTTTGAGACTTAATGTCCAAACTGCTTGTTTTTTATTTTCGGAGTGTAAATATCTTTTTGAGTGGTAATATAAATAGTTAGTCACCCAAAAAAAGTATTACTTAGAAATTATTTATATTTTCTACGAGTATAAAAATATCCATCCTAAAATGGTACCAAAGAGACATTGGAAAGGTTCTAACGCGTGAAATCATTAATTCCTGGGGCCAATTAAATAAAAATATCTTAAAATGATCTGGTTTTAAGTTTTAGAAGCAGTGAAAGATGGACCTAAAGTAATCCTAATGCATTCTTCATGTGTAAATAGGCCCCACTATGTGGGAATCCTTGTCTTGTTGTCATTTGATAATTGACATGTGTCTTTTGATTGGAATGTCAACTTGCTATTCCAATATTTTCAACATTTCTCGTAGGTATTTGGATTGGCGGCTAATATAGACAAAAGTTCAATATATTTTGAAGGGGTGAAGCCAGATGTTCAACAAGCTATCTTGCATGCACTACAATTCACAAAAGGAGAGATGTCATTTAGATACCTAGGGATTTCTCTGAGTACTAAAAGACTATCAATCATTAGGTGCAAGCCTCTTATTGATAATATATTGGGCATAATCAAGTCATGGACTACAAGATACTTATCATACGCAGGCAGACTACAACTTATAAAGTCAGTGCTTTTCTCTATACAAGTATGTTGGTCGAAGGTGTTTGTTCTACCAAAAAAAGTGATCCAACTGGTGGAGGCTATATGTAGGAGTTTCCTATGGACCGGTGGAATTGAAATATCAAGGAAGACACTTAACGCATGAGATAGACTTTGCCTTCCTAGGGCTGCAGGGGGCCTCAATATCCTGGATATCTATGCGTGAAACTTAGCTGCTATTGAAAAATTATTGTGGAATGTTTGCAGAAAAAAGACAACTTATGGGTCAAATGGATTCATTCTTACTATATAAAAAAAGGCACAGTGTGAAAAATAAAAGCTACTCAGGTTTTATGGATGATGCAGAAAATTCTCAAAACAAGAGTACTGTTTGATCAAATAGGGCTAACTGAAGATGAAGTAGAAGTTATAAACAACTATTCAACCAAGAAGGTGTATGGGCTTATTCATGGAGATTTTTCAAAAATACCATAGAGAAGATTGATATGTAACAATGCTGGATTACCTAAGTGGTTATTTATTCAGTTCTTGGCATTACATATGAGATTCCAAACAAAAGAAATAATTGCTTGCTGAGCTAATTTAGATGACATGAACTGTGTCTTATGCTTGAAGGAAATGAAGATATTGATCACCTATTATTCGAGTGTGAATATACAAATCAAGTATGGTCCAAACTGTTGAAATGACAAGGCATCATTAGGAATGCTAGTAATTGGTAGCATGAAGTCACATGGGCAATGGAATATGCAAGAAGGAAAACTGCAAATCAAGAGATATATCGGATGACTTTAGCTGGATAAGAGAGATACATCAAAGAGCAAGTAGAATGCATAGGCTAGATAGACACATGTCGTTTCTAAATTTTTATCCATAGAGGTTGTTTGTAGAGTAGTAGAGTGTTGGCATCGATGTCCAGCAAGTTTGAGACTTAATGTCCAAACTGCTTGTTTTTTATTCTCGGAGTGTAAATATCTTTTTGAGTGATAATATAAATAGTTAGTTACCAAAAAAAAAATTACTTTGAAATTATTTATATTTTCTACGAGTATAAAAATCTCCATCCTAAAATGGTATGAAAGAGACACTGGAAGGGTTCAAACGCGTGAAATCATTAATTCCTGGGGCCAAATAAATAAAAATCTCCTAAAATGATATGGTTTTAAGTTTTAGAAGGAGTGAAAGATGGACCTAAAATAATCCTAATGCATTCTTCATGTGTGAATGGGCCCACTATGTGGTCATCCTTGTCTTGTTGTCATTTGATAATTGACACGTGTTTTCTTATTGGACCCATATCGTAATGTGTTTTTCCTTTTGATTTGTCAAATTGTACAAACAATTATAGGGAAGAATGATTAGTTTAGTCCACTAAGCTAATTATGTTTTCCTAAGCCGCCATGCTACGTCATTAAATAAGAATCACGCAATCCCAGTAAATGCAGTATCATTAAGGGGAGAATAAAAGAACGAAAACGGAAGTAAAAGAAAAGGAAAAAAAATGTTACATTAATATTTCGTTTAAAATTTTTAAGATTAAAATGAGTTTTTTTGCATTCATATCTATGTTGAAGTGTCTAATTGATAAATAATGCCAAGTTTCAAAGGATATCTAGGAATTTACCCTTTTTCTAAGTTCATACACATGTGCTCCAATCTCCAGTATATTATGCTGGAACTTCCTGTGTGTCGGAGTTCCAGCATAATATGCTGGAAGTTCATACACAGGTCCACTAATCTCCAGTATATTATGTTGGACCGGTCCATGTTGCAGCAAAATAGTGGCTATTTTTCAATGACTTTACAAATGCTGTCTATTTTTCAATTATCAGTCCAAAAACTAGCTAGCCCGTGCTATTTTTACGTAAATGTATGATATTGGGCTCAATCCAAGTGGAAGCAATTGAATCCATATTGATGAGACGATCCAATCCAGTTCCCCTTCCAACATTGGGCCTGTAGATGTTAGTGCGCTATATATTTGAGGGAATTACACATAAATAACAATTCACATACATACTTTGCAACTAGATGATCTATATTCAACTTTGCAAAGTTGTAGTCCAAAAATAGTTGGCCAAGATTTAACATTCAACTTTAAATAGATTCTCGAAATCACTATTTAGTTTTGCACAAATAGGATACTTCGGTGTCACTTTAATTTTTTAATTGCACCTACCTCATGGGCATTACTTCAAGTTTAAAAAGTGTTGCTTCTTGCTAGCCCCAAAGACAACACTTATTTTTACCTTAAATGTTTGCTCATAGGACAAGCGGGGTAAAAAAAATCAAAACCATCCATTTTCAAGATCATTAGGAGTAATTTCCTATATTTCATTTCACAATCTTCGAGAAACCAACTGGGCTATCATATCAACAGACAGTTTTTGGGCTGTGAAATGAAATTGGCCAAAAATTGAGTTCATCTTATTTGTTTATCATACTTGAATGAGCCCAGCACAGAGGTAGACTTTTGCTGCATATACTTTTACTTCTTTTCAAACTTTTCGTCAAACCAATGAACAAACTTAGGAACTAATTTGCTAGTTGATGCAGAAGAGGCTCATCTAGAATTACAATCAATGGACTCTAGAAGGGGAGCCAAGAATTCAAGCTTATGAGTCCGAAATTTTAATCGTTTTAAGTTAATGAGTTCTAAATTAATGATTTATACATATTTAATGAAATTTTTTAATACAAATATAGAGTTCGAACCAAAACTACAAGGTTCGGCCGAACCTACTCTCGGCACTCTAGCTCCGCCGATGATGGACTCCAAATGTATGCAACATCACAGTGAGTTCGATGGATGCAAAAATATTGTTCCATGAATTCTAATAAGAGATCTTAAAGAAAGGCAAGAATTCCACACCTCAAATTCGAACTTCAAACCTAATGAGCGCGCTTGAGACTACACTCATAGCTCGCCATATGTCAGGGGATTCAACAATTTAAATAGGCGGAATACATATGCGACCACTTAAACTTGTTCGTCTTTTTGATCACCTGATCCATGCTTAAATTGTACCTATCGAACAATTGGTCAAAGTTCAATAGGTCTTACCATTTTAATAAATACAAAAAAAAAAAAAATCTTGTTTTCAACCTATTTGCAAAGGATCATTTTCACCCTTAAAAGAGACCAAGAAGCAGCTATGACATTCCAAAGGCTTTTACACAAACATTGCTAAAACACTTTGATTGGATCTGTCAACAACAGAAAGAAGTAACTATTACAGAAACATAAATTAATAATACACTTGAATCTGTTTGCCTATTTGTATGAAAAAGGAAGAGCTCATTTTAAACTCAATCTCCTTTTCATTCAAGAACCATATCACTACTTAAATAAATATAACATAGGCAATATATCCACACAAATATATAGAAACTAAAGTTATTCTCAAGGTGAAATCCCCATTTTCCAGGACATAACAAAGTTTTTCCCAACTGGTAATTCTAGTCCTTGTATATCTAGCATCATACTCTTCCTCTTATCGCCTCCCTCCTCGAGTTTGTCAATATACTTGTGTTCTTCAGTAGTAAACTGCACGTTCGAAGTATCTGTAACTTGAGTTCCATCCACTAGAATTTCAAATGCACCTCCAATTCGGTCCAAACCTAACACTGTAACCTTCTCAATAGACCAACCTTTATCCATCGCGTATTTGCTCTCTTGAACTTCAGACCAAATCTTCACTGTTCCATTGCTGGTTTTTGCATAGAAGTCGATATATGTTGACTGTCCATTTCCTAGCTTCATCTCTGGAAGCTCATCCTCGTCGAGGAAAAGCTTTCCCTTAGCTTCCCCTTCGGATGCTCCTAATGGGAAGGCTACGACGATAGTAAAAGGTGTCATTCTTGCTTCTTTTGTTAACATCCCACCGCGCTGCATTGGTATTATGGCGTTTTGGTACAAATGCACGTTGACTGCATGCAATGGTGCATCAAGTGTGAGGTAGTGTGGTTCTTTTGTCACAACGGCCTGTGTCATATCGAATAAACTATACCAAGTGCCCGGAGGAAACAGCGCTTTCACCTCAGTTTTACCTTGTTCTAGCACCGGAGAAACCATGACACTGCTTCCAATCAAGAATTGAGTACTCAACTCGTAAAGCTTTGGGATGTTCGGGAAAGAGAAGAACAGTGGCCGAGCAATTGGTGCACCAGTAGTGTGTGCCTCATAGTTCAAGGTGTAGAAATATGGTAGCAATTTATATCTCATTCCTAAAGCGTTACGAGCAGATTCAGCCACACTTTTCCATTGGTAAAGTTCCTGTCTTGGCGAGTAGTAATTCGCGTGATCCCTTGAGAAGGGATAGAACGCGCCAACTTCAATCCAACGGTTGCATAGCTCCTCAGTAGGCGCCGGATAAAATCCACATATGTCCGAACCAACCATTGGAACACCAAATATACCAAAATTCAAGACTGTAGAGATTGAATACCTCAAATCTTCCCAAGTTCCTTTGTTATCCCCTGTCCAATGTGCAGCATAATGGCCCGAGCCAACAAACGTAGCACGAGACAATATGAACGGACGTTTGCCCTCTAACGCTTGAAGACCCTTGTGAGTTGCAATAGTCTCAGAGAAACCATAAAGACTATGAGCATCATATTCCCTAACTCCATTGTAATGTGTTGCGCTAGTGGCAATAGTTTTGTAACCTATTGGAGCTTGAATTCCAGAAGCGTTTATCTTATAAGGCGGATCATCCCACTTTGTGCTCGTTACATTCTTGCAATCTAGGCAACAAATCCAACCCGGACCTGTGCCATTAGGACATATCCTTCCCTCCGGGATAGTGCACAAACCAGTGCAGAAGTTGGAAACTTCATTCATATCAATCCAAAGGCCATCAATAGGAGCAAGTTCATGGAATCGTCGAATTTCATCACCCCACCACTCAACCGTTTTAGGGTTGAGGAAGTCAGGGAAATGAACGGCACCAGGCCAGACTTGTGCTAAAAATGGCTTGCCTTGATATTTGATGAAAACATCATTGGCAATACCTCTTTGATAAACACCATAACTTTTGTTAACTCCAATTCCAGGATCATTAATCACAATATAATGCATGCCTTCGGCGTGGATTTTTTCCAAGAATGCCCTTAACTTTGGGCCAGGGTAGTTGACAGGGTTGAGAGTGAAATCCTTCTTCCCATCCATGTGATCATCATCATTCCAAATCACATCAAGAGGAATCTTTGCTTTCTTGTAATTGGCAATAACATCTTCAATTACAGATAAATTGTGGTATCCCCACCTGCATTGATGGAAACCTGTAGCAAGAGGAAATATTGAATTAGGCCATGAATCTTGAATACAAATTTATTTTAACACCATAGTAGTACAATCCAATTTTAGCAGTAATTTAGTATGTTTTGAAAGTTAAATGCCCCCCCCCCCCCCAGGATGTAACAACTCAATCCACTAGTGATATTGTTCGCTCTGTGCCACGGGCCGCACTGCTTTAAAACGCATCATTAGGATCTAAGATTTGTTTACTTATATATCCAGCATCTCTCCCGTGTTTTGTCGATGTGAGATTCTGTAGGGTGTCACAAACAATTATGTCCGGTCGCACACATCGACTATTTTTCCGCGTACCTGCTACCTCCCACCATCAGCAGATATCGAGTAGCTCATCATCTTAGATTCCCTTATTCAACCATGAGATGGAAACCACATATTTTGATATAATTTCAAGAACCTTTTAGTTAAATGTCTAGAATTTTATCAAGTCTTGTTACAACTAGTAACAGTTTTGTACCATTTGCATGACAAGAAAACACTTGAAAACTACAGTTCGGCTATGATTAACAAAAAACCAACACTTGTCCAACAGCAGCACAACAGATCAAGTCATACGTCCAAATGACACTTTATGTTAAATCAAATATGCATTATTGAGTTTCAACTTGTTTGTACATCTACCAACCGTAATGCTAATTTAAGGTTTCTATCAAAGGGACCTTAATTAAAAAAAGTTAAAGTTTAGTTTTGTGATTAAAATTTGATGTGATTGCTCAAATTTACACATATGTAGGGAAGATTACACCTACTACCACTACAGCATCACCCAATGATCTAAATCTGCTTTTTCTTGACAGTTTTTGTTTTCTGCCAGGACCAGCTAATGGAGGAGACTATTGTTTTAAATTTTACTTAAATATTTACTAAATGTTGCTCGAACTTTTTAAAAATATAGCTAGGTGTGTGTAGAACCCTCTAAAATAGTGAATTTATGGAGGATTTAAAACACATAGTATCATTTTCAGAGTCTACACAACATGGCAATTAAGTTAATTATAAAGTAATTACAAGTAAATCTCTTGTGAACAAGTTGATTAGTAATCGGGTAAAAACAATAACTAACCTAGTATTACATGTTAGACTGCACTGACAAGTGACAATGTAAAAATTTTGCATAGTAACTAACTTACTATTACATGTTAGACTGCACTAACGACATATATATAACATAAAATTAAAATACTAATGATTATAGGCACCGTATGACCATTTTTAGGTTACTTTTTAAATTATATCCCCATTAGATGTAGGTGATTAACCTACTATTACATGTTAAACTACACTAACAATATCAATATGTAATCTAAATTCCTACAATAGCCTAGGGGAATAAATTTGGCACTTGAAAATAGTTCAACAATTTTTTATTTTTTTTCCAGATATATTTAGAACACTGAACTAATGGGGACAAAATATTAAAAGTATCCCCAAAAGAGGCCCCCTAAAGCAAAAACGCTATAAATGTGAAGTTTTGGTGTATCCTTTTTCTGTGGGCCTTTTTCGATGAGAAAAATAAGTAAAAATAACACTGGCTAGTCAGTTTTCGGACTGATAATTGAAAAATAGTCAGGAATTTGAAAAATAACCACTATTTTGCTGCAACACGAAAAGTTCTAGCATAATATACTGGAGATTGGTGCACATGTGTATGAACTTCCAGCATAATATACTGGAGATTGAAGCACATGTGTATGAACTTCCAGCATATTATGCTGGAACTCCAGTATATTATTTTGGAAGTTCACATATAAAAAATTCGAATTCCAGTATATTATGCTGGAATATTTTTCGGGTTTCGAATATTATTTTCGTTTAAATTTATCTTTAGATGAAAAATTACTAAATTTTAATTAATTTTGAAATTGTTAGCTATTTTTCAATTAAAAAAGAGTGCGAGAGAATCAAAGATTTTTTTTAGTAGTCAAAAAAGTGATTTCAACTTTTCAGAGATAAAGAGATTAAAAAGGAAAATAGCAGTGATGACAAAGAAATCAGTACTACTGGACCAGTCCACCAACTAATAAATATCAGTAATTTCATTTGATACAATAGTACAAATAATTCATGACACATTTTAATCAATACCTACCATCTTGCCCTATTAGAGTATGAACGTAGACCAAAAATCCTTTAGTAATTTAAGGTACTTACCTGTAAAGATCAAGCAAAATCTTCTATCTAATGATGCGTATAATGATGATTAGCCAAATAAAGCCAGAAAGTTTTTAAGTAAAAGATAATAGTCAACATTATACAAGATTTGTTTATCTACTCAATCATTTGATAGTGGCAATCATTTTCAAGTGTGATTATTAAAAATCATATCTTTTTTTCTCTTATCCTCCAAGAAAATTCCATCAGTTGTAATTAATTGGCATATCCTAGGGTTTTAAATATATAATAAAAGTAAAAATATGATATAAAGAAAAATAAAATAACTTACCATCCTCCTAGTAAAAGTGTCACATGTATTAACTACTTAAAAACTTCCATGTCCGAATTGAGAAAAAGATGTGACCATTAAAAGAGTCAGAAATACTTATTCATATTTAAATTTATATTAAATCAATAAATATATAATATACACTTTTTTCATACCTAAATTGAGTGTGAGTGAATTTTTTTTTTTTATGAAAAAAGAATTCTTCGCTAATTTATCAATTATTGAGATGGTCCACAATGTAACAATTGCTATCCTAATTTTGTCCCTTGTACAAATCTCCTAACGTATGTACCGCCAAAATAAATACATACTATTATTAAAAGACAAGTCACGGGATTCTAACTTCCCAACCTCAAATGTAAGCTACAACCAAAGAGGTGGACTTATCCTCGAACCCCCACATGTCTATTGTCTTTTTTCTTTATAATCGAAGTATTCGAGTCTTATCTTAACTATTTTCATAAAATATGGGGAAACTACTGACTATCTCCATTTTTAAGTAGCTCATTATCAAAATTAGTCAATTCATAAAATATTAATAATATTAGCCAATTAATTATTTGTAGCAAAAAAAAAAGTCAAATTTTTGCTTTCTTTTGAGTGAGTGTTATTAGAATAGATTGGGTACATCATAAAGAGCTTGAATCTCAGTTTTGGGATGATTTGGTAAAGTTTTGAGATGGTTTGAATTGAGAATTCAAAGTAAAAACTGAACATAAAAATAATAATATGTGTATCATTTGTGTATCACATATGTATCATATTTGCATCAATTGTGTATCACATGTACACCTGTGTATGAGATACATGCGTGATACATGTTTGATACATGTGTCGCAGAAAACTTTTTTGAACTCGATTTAATTACGAATTTCGAAACAAAACCAGTCTAAATCAACTCCAATCTTCCTCAAATTTTGTATATTGACTTATCTATATGTTTTCAATGAATTTCAATTATACCCATTAACTTTTTCGCTAAGATTTTTGGAATATTATATTTTTTTTTTTGTATTTCATCACCTTATTTGCTACCTCATCCATGAAATTTCCTTTGCGTCTTGCATCTAATGTTGCTAATCACGTTTAAAAATATAAAAGGAGATTTTTGCATGTGATTCTTTGAGAGAAAGAACTTTATTTATTTGGGTTTTTCAATTTTTATATGTGCTTGTGTAAGTGTATGACTAATGACTAGAGGGAGGTCAATAAGTTAGACTTATTTGGACATTTGTCTACGTTTCCCTAAAATATTTATTATCTCCTATCTACATCAACACAAGATATGAGATAATTCTGTCCAACATGTCTATTAGCTTTATAACCAAAATGGTTAATGAAGAATTAGTTTCACATTAAGCCACTTTACAACAGGCTATGTTATGTGAGTTTAAGTTATGTGCCCAAAAAAAGTGTATATTTTTTCACGTTTTCAGATTAAGTTGATCGACCTATAATGTATGAATTTTCAATGAATATTATATATACCACATTTACAAGATCTGAATTGTATGAGTCCTAGTAGCTCAAAGTAAAATGTATGTCTAAACATAGCGTTAACTTATAGAAGAATTACTCAAATAGACGCTCATTCAACCGCTTAAACTAAAAATAGTCAGTAGATGTATAATATATGTATAATTTATGTATTATATATATATAATTTTATATAATTAATATATAATCTATATATATGCTAGAAAAAAAAAATGAATATGATCTGCTATTTACGTAAAGATCCTTTAATTACAATGTTTTACCTACTTCAACTTAAATGCTGCCTTTTATCAGCTTTATCAGCGTATATCCAGGCCCCTACTAATACAATATACTAACTTAGTTGAAACCATACCAACCAAAAACTAAATATCAACAAATATCACAATTAATGCCATTAAATGAAGTGAAAAAGATAAGACAAGAATTTATAAGAAAACTTACCAAGAGACCAATAGGGCATAGGAGCAGGCCTGCCTATAAATTCAGTATATTGATCAACAACAGCAAGAGGTGTGGGACCAGCAAAGAAGTAAAAGTCCAAAATACCCCCTATCACTTTATATGTCAATGAATTCCCTCTGTAAAACACATCCATTCCATTGCTATTTAGCAATAAAACTGCATGTGCATAACCTTCACCATTCAAATTCCTCAAATCCATATACATTGGATGTGAACCATACAAATCCATGTTCAAATTAATTGCTGATTGGTCAGTTGTGTATAAAGTGTAAGGGTCATTTGGGTAAATTTTAATACCATGGGGTTGTGTATTTTCACCTAAACCATATAAAGAAGCATCTTTGGGTAATTTTGTTGATATTTCAAGATATTGGTCTTTAAATACCAAATTATTATATGGGTCTGAATCATCTGAACTTGAATTGAAAAGGGTTTCTCCATTTGATTTTCTTTTCACAGAAAAACCAAAAGGGTCAGTGGTAAAGCTGAAAATTAACTCATTCCCTGAATATTCTGAGGCTCCTAATGGAAATGGATTATTCTTTCTTGAAACACCAATTGTTTGTTTCAATAATGGGGCCTTTTCCCTTGGTAATAAATTGTATGGAACTTCCCATCTTTCCTTCTCTGCATCTGTTATTTGAATCCTCAATCGATTATCTGTCTCATGCCTGTAATAATAATCACAAATTTAACATAAAGATTCAATTTTTAGAACAGAATGAGAAGAATGGGAAGTGTTTGAATACTTACTTGACATAGAGCTGCAGATGAGGAATATCAGGGCCATAAATATTGTTCTTTTTCTTGACTTTGAGGTGACCAATGAGTCCACCATCTGGTGATTCTTCAATGGCTATTAATCTATAGCCTTTGCCAATCTTGACTGGAGTTGTGTACACTAAATTTACACAAGAAATGCATATTGTCAAGAATAGCAAGAAATGAAATAATGGGGAAGAAGAGAAAAAATTCATGGTTTTTGCTAGCTAAGGGGGAAAGAATGAAGAGTGTGAAGCCTGAGTTTGGCACTTTGCAAGAGTAACTGTTTGGGGTTTTGTGGATTTATATAATAGGCAAAAGGAAAGAGAAGAGTAATAGAGTAAATGTGAGTATGTTAATGAAAAGAAGATTGATATCATCTTAACAATCTCTTCTCTTTGCCCATGTGACTTATGATGTTCCTTTGGTCCCACTTCTTTGAAAAATTCCTTTTAATTTTCCTTTTGTTATATCCCATCACTGGCGTTAATTGAGGTTATGAGAATAAGATGTTCGCATCGAACGTCTATCGAAAATAGTCTCTTATACTCTCTCCGTCTAATTTTACTTGTCCACTATTCTAAAAATTAATTTTTATTTTTACTTATTTACTTTTTCATATCAAGAGAAAAATAATTTTTTTTTGTTTTGCCCTTAGTATTAATTACTCATTCCAAATTCATTAAGACATCAATTAATATGAGTATCATGATAAATTATGCTCTTTATTTAGTATTTCTTAAGTTGTGTGCAAAGTCTATAGTGGACAAATAAAAGTGAACGAAAAGAATACAATATAAAGATAAAATCTATGTATTCCTCATTGTCTCATACCTTATTGTGGGATTACACTGAGTATATTATTGTCGTTGTTATTGTTGTTGTTCTTTCAAGAAGTATGGTGGGATGTAAGAATTATTCACCATTAATTAGATATTTCGAGTTTGAGGTAGCGGGAATATGATCGTTTCTCTCATGTTATATGTTATTTACCATTAAAGAGTATAGTGGATGAATATAAATTTTCTATAGTTAATTAGAGGTATCGGGAATGAAGATAAAAGGAGGCAAGGTAGTCAATAAAATTTCCTTCGCCAAAAAATCGTAACCTGCAAATAGGCCAGTAACAAAATTTTTTGGTTATTAATTGTTGGATCCCTTGATATAAGAAAATATTTATTGTAATAGTAAATAGTGTAGAAAAATTATTTTAAATCATAAATTAAGATTTTAGGTCTGACACTCTAGTATATTTCTTTTTCAATTTTCTTATAGTATAATTTTTTAGTTTCGTCATTAATCTAAAAAATGAAGAAACTCCTTGTAAAAGTGTTATGTGGTATTTAAATCCAAATTAATCAAGCATACCACCCAATAAGTCTCTTAACACACCCCCCCACCCCCCAAATAAGTCTTTTAACACCCTCCCCCAAACCAAATCCCCCTTCCCCCTTCCCTTCGTAGTACGTACTGAGAGGGGAAAAGAGAGAGGAAAGTGTCTATCAACAGTTTCACAGTTCCAATACTTAAAATGAATGAAAGGGAGTCTTGACGTAACTGGTAAAGTTACTCACATGTGATCAGAAAATATTCTCTTGCAAAAATATAGAGTAATACTACGTACAATAAAATCTTATGATCCGACCATTCTTCGAACCTCGCGCATAGCGTAAGTTTAGTGCACCGGGCTGCCCAAAAATACTGAAAATGAATGGCCTTCCATGCTATCATGCTCTGTTTCAACAAAACAGGAGATCTCTGAAGAAATGGGCAGTGGGCACATCTTTGTGTAAATATAGGGAATTGTAATATCAATATTTTAATACAGAATCAGAGATGTGGTTCAATCTTGTTTTTACGTCAAGTTGTTCTAGAAATTATTCCTCAGTCATAGTAAGAAAAATTGCTTCCCAAGAATTATTGTTTTTAAAGAAAAATGTTGATTAACAATGGATAAAACACAATCTTGCATTTAATACAAATCATGTAAACAGAGGTAGACAGTAGGATATAGTAAATAATATGATCTACTTGATAACTTGTGCCAATCACATTAATTAATCACGGGATACAAGCATGGATTACGATATTCGTCTATTCAATCAAACATGCCAGTCAATTCTGCGGTGATTTAATTAGTAATACTAATTATTGTTCATTTTTTTAATTTTTTTTCTAATATTAATTAATTGCATGTGTCGGAATCAATCATTGATACTTGCATCAACGTAGGCAACTTACATTACACCCCCTTAGGGTACGATTTTTTCCGAACTCTATGTAAACACGAGATGTTTTGTATACCCAGTTACCCTTTATATTTTAAAGTTTATGTTAAAAATAACTCCTTGCTAGATAAGTTTTAATTTGCCCTAATTTATATAGCAACAGTCTCAAGATCTAGGTTCATCACACGCATTATCTGTTTTGGGCAAACAGACCTTATGAATTTTCCCTATCATCAAACCAAAAAATTCGCACACCATATGAATTTGTGATGTGACTTATAAAGTTCTTTAATTTTATCTCTCATTCCGATGTGAGATTCGCTTAAGTGATATGTGCACTTCTTTTAGATTCTTGTCAACCTAGAAGTCTGCTAGTCTTACTTGACTCGCACTCGTCGGTGGCGTCACAAACAGGGTGAAAATATTTATGTACCTTAATACTTGGCTCTACTAAGTGTCTTGGCTAATTACGGGTGTATGATCTAAAAAAAATGTGACTAACATGATGTTAGGGGTGTACATGGACCGAATTGGTTCAGTTTTATAAAAATCGAACCAAACCAACTATATCGGGTTAGATTGGTTCGGTTTTATCGGGTTTTTCGGGTTTTTCTATTACATGAATATTATTTCGATCTTACTTTGTTAAAGTTATGGATAAAGTTTTGATAAGTGAATATATATTTAGCAAATATTGAAAAAATTGACAAATATATGATTCATCAAAATATTATAATGGGAATTTTATTTTTAGTAACACATAATAGTTATTTTCTTATTCGTCTAACAATTAATTTTTCGTTAATGTACGCTTTCAAGGTTAACACATGAGAGGATCCCAAATATTTTTACATTTTTTAAAAATAAAATTCAATATAAAGTCTTAAAAATAGATATAAAATTTATATACTTATATGTCGGTTTGATTCGGTTTTTTTATTCAATACCAAACCAAGTCAAATCAAACCTAGTCAAGTTTTTTAATCGGTTTGGTTTGATTTTTCGGTTTGGTACGGTTTTCCGGTTCGATATAAACACCCCTACATGCTGTAACCGATAAAATTACACTAAACGTGTAAAATACATTTTTAATTTACTAGCAGATAAAATTAAATTAGGCATTGGTTAGTTGCGGTCAACGTTTTACTACAAAAAGCATATGATTTATCGATATGTTCATTTAGGTAGCTAGTCGACATTGTCAAAAGAGACAAAGAAAAAGTTAATCTAAATATGTAAATGACAATTTCGTATACTCCTAATATAAACTATACATTAATCTCCTCCACTTATTTAGCTAGCAAGTATATCCATTCCTTTAAAAGTGGGTACAATTCGATAATTTCAAAATTTGTTCATTCTCTTATCTTTATTACTTAACCATCATTTATTTTAAAATTTTCTTTACAAAAAAGAAATATAGAACAAAGGAGTCGAGATCTTGAGATTGACAGTGCGTTCAATTTGGAGACTTCGTTTCCAATAACTAAAATATTTAATTACTAAGGTTTTGAGATTTCTAGTCGATTTAAATGAGCACAGAGAGATGGTCCTTTTAGACTTTTGAACAAATCAAAAGTCTCTATAAAAAAACTCATTTGTTATGATATTATATTATCTCTTATAGTGATATTTAAAAAAGCATTTATTATTTAAATCTTATTTGACTATTATTAATGAAAAATACCGAATAACTCTTTTTTTTTCAACTTGTTTGTTTGTGTTATAAAAGATAATAAAATAATTTTAGTATGGATATTATAGGAAGGTAATTTTATATAGAGTGTACTATCATAACATAGAAGTAAAATATAATATAAAAAACTAGTTCCACAAAAACTTGCATGTTATAATGAAATATTTATTATAAAAAGTAGAGAGTTCTTACTATAGTTTGATTGTATTGGTACATTTCATGGGCGAGCTTATTAAAAAGTTTGTTTGTGTTACTTCTATAAATTGTGTAATCACGTTATATGAACGTAAAATGGTCAAATGTATCCCTATACTGTCTGAAATAGTTTAAATATTTCTTCCGTTTAAATATCCGTTTAATTATGTCCTTACCGTTATACTTTGATATAGATAAACCCCTAATTTAAACCGAATGACATGTGTCAGCTTAGGAACAAAATAACCCCCAATTTTATTATTCGGGTCCAATTAAAACCCACCCCAAATTGTTTACTCATTACACGACTCAATTTCTCTCCAAACTTATTAAATCCTTTCTATATATAACCAATCAAATACATGTGTATGAACTTTCAGGTATAAAACTTATTACAACGACTCATTTTCCGTTATATAAAAGATAAACGGTTAGGATAACCAAGTATAGTGTTGACAGGTCTGTAAAGAATTAAACCAAAAAATGCTTGTGCGCTGCGATATTAAGTCATCCTATTTAAAAATTTAATCAATTAAAGAGAAGTCACTTTTTATTTATTTATTTTAGTTCTACCATTGGAGGTTCAATACATATTAATTGATTCAATATACTACTAAAAGCAACTTAACTAGCAAAATTGAAGTACTTTACAAGACCTTCTTATCTTGTGATTAGTTATTCTCTTTTAGCGATATTTACTCTTTCCTATTTCTTGGTAGTTAATAGGTATCATCAAAAGAAAGAGGAAAAAGGGGGAAAACGCCCACAAAAGTTACATATAATTTGGTTTTAAACACTATTTTACGCAATAGCTTTTGTAGAAATTCACGTGAAATCAAGGATTCATATTTAAGATAAGCATGGAAGATATTGAGCCAACATGAAATGAGCATTAGGCCTCACCCTTATTAGATAAGTTACTACTTGAAAATAAAGTACTTATCTTTGGTGCATGTGTATGGGTTCCTATATGATCGCAAATTAATATAATAGTAATGGTCGGACCAATAAACCGAATTTCAAGCTAAAGATTCTTATAAATTAATAAAAAATTTAATACAAAAGCAGAATCTACGCAACAATTAGTGGATTCACATGAACACGGACCTATTGCACTAGATCCACCTCTGACTATACAACTCATTATAATTAAGTCATAAATTAAGATTAAGCAATTATATAAGTATTAATTAATTATGGCTAAGTGATAAATCATGTGTGGAAAAATACATGCACTTAGTGTTTTAATGTATCGGTAG